CTCAACCAGGAAGAGTCCATAGTATATTCTTACATAAAAAAAAAAAAAACAATATATATATATATATATATATATATACATATATATGTTATTTGAAGTTTGGAAATCCTTTAGAAGATAGTAAAATCTGAGGGTTCAGATACAGAAGGAGAAATGGATATTGGGCAATTCTGAGGTCTGTTGGACCTAAAAGATAGTGGTAGAAATTTCTTGTCTGGGAAAAGCCTAAATCTACCAGAGAGCCTGATGCAGTAATGTTGCAGAAAGGGTATTTGATAAGCTCCATGCCCAGGCACTGGCCCTTAGAAGTAGCACGACTCTCAGCATGCTACAACCTCTCTGACCTTCAATTTGCTTTGTAAACTGGAGATAGACATAACTAATTTGAAGTATTGGGGGAAAGCAATAAATGAAATGATGTATGGAAAATGCTTGGTAAACACTAAAGTGCTGTCAGGCATGGGGATTGTTATTATTCTGCCTTTCTGGAACTTTTTATATATAACACAGAGACAGAGGAATGGACTGAATGACTTACTATGGCTTCTTTTTTACCACCAGAAGTAGATCATTCAAAGCTTGGGAGTGAAGTCAAGCTGTTTCCAGGGATCATTAGCTTTATAGTTTCCAGAAAACTTCAACCTAAAATAAATTCCTCCCCCTCCCATTGAAAGATTTCAATGACAAAGTCAGCTCCAGTTCCAGCAGAGTGTGAGAGCTGTTGGAGCAGGTCAAGGTCAGCTTTCCTTTTCCAGGAAGAGAGACAGAATGAGAAGCAAGATGATTATAATACTGAAGGGGTTCGTGATTTGGGGCTAGAAGAAAAAATTGGTCTTTTGCCCCTGGGAACATTTAATATCATGGGATTCTAGGCCTTCCTTTCAGAGGGCAACTTTAAAAAAAAAAGAACATGGCTTTAATTATGATAACGGATTAATTAATTAGAGACAGAAGGCTTGAGGTCTCTTTTCTACTTTTCCTAAAACTTATAGGATACACACTAAATTTATCTTTTCATCAATACTGTAAATAGGTCTGTCCTTTCATTAAATGAGAGATAGCATTGGTTTTTAGTGGCCTGTAATATATAACATCAAATTCATTCCTTGTCTGGTATCCACAGGAAAGACGGTGCAGGCTGGTGTGTTAGATCTTCATTACTGTAACAAATACCTGAAATAATCAATTTATAAAGAGAAAAAAGGTTTATTTCTACTTGGCAGTTTGGGACGTTCCACGATTGGGCAGGCTCATTGCTTTTGGTCCTCTGGTGGAGAGAGCAGCATATCCCAGCAGGAATATGTCATAGAACAAAGCTGTTCACTGCATGGCTGGAGAGCAAAAATTAAAAGAGAGGGCAGAGTCCCACAGTCCCCTTCAAGGGTATCCCCCCAGGGCCTGGAGTATGGACCTCCCACTAGGCCCACCTTGGTTTGTTTGTATGTTTGTCTGTTTTTTTGGTACTGGGAATTGAACCCAGAAGCACTTAACTGCTGAGTCACATCCCCAACACTTTTTATTTTTTATTTTGAGACAGGATCTTGCTAAGTTGCTTAGGGCCTCACTTAATTGCTAAGATTGGCTTTGAACTTGCGATCCTCCTGCCTCAGCCTCCTGAGCCACTGGGATACAGGCGTGCACCATCATGCCCAGCAAGGCCCACCTCCACCCTACAGTGCCAAACTGTTGAAAAAGACTTTAACACATGAGCCTTTAGGGGACTTTTAAGATTTAAATTATAGAAGTTGCTTAGACCACACTAAGATCCTTTAGAGAGCCTGCTTTCTTACATAACTCCTGAGTACACATAGAGCCTGCAGACTAACTCAGCCAGTCTCTTGTACTGGAAGTCACTATGAAGGGACACTGGTGCAGAGCACTGTGCTCAGCGTCATTGGCAAGTGTCTACTTTATCCCACACAATGGAGCTTCCTGTTGAGATGAGGAAGCAGGTCACTGTTTCACCTCACAAGTGCAACCCATATTTGCCTGTGCTCAGTGCCACCTGAGCATGATAGATATTGAAAGTTGCTAAAAACTGAGTGGAAGGAAAATTTCAGGAATGATTAAGGAAGTTCTGAAAAGGCCCAGTGAAAATTCACTGAGCCTCAGCTATCTCCTCAATATTTCGTTAGCTATGGGTAAATGGGCTATTTGCAGAATATTATTATAAAGCCAATTAACATCTCAGTGTTCAAAGGAATTTTCCATTTGCCTCTTAGACATTTGACCCCAGTTTTAGCAACAGGAAATTTCAATGCCTAGGATAGCATATTGTCTGGTATAGCATTGGATTTTAAACTTGAACTTAACTGTCAAAATGTAATATTGCAGTCCTTTGCGTTATGAAATTATTTCTACTTTTAAAGGGATATTTCCATTTGGGGACTAATTCATCTTCATAGGATTTATTCATAGGAATAATTTCCAAACAGAACTTATTAACCTCAATTTGCACATTAAGTAACTGAGGTCCAGAAACATCGCTTAAGACCATATAAAAAGTCCTGAGTGGAGGCAGGCACAGGACATGAGGCCTTCCGGCTCTACCCAGGCAGGGAGATGAATGTATCATTGGCAGTCATCTGACATCCAGCTAGGAAGCCAGGATTAATGTTGTTTGCCAAGTGTCCACTCAGATCCTTGGAGGAAAAGGCCTTACAAAAGTACAACATATTACCCTCATTAGTAAAGCAAAATTTCTTAAAGATGATGTTTCAATCAGAAGTTCTCTTCAGGGGCTCCCCCACCAGCAGGTTGCTCTGTAAAAGCCGGCATTTCCTGGAGTGTGGAAATCATAACTACAGTTTGCCCATGAACTTCTTGCTCAGAACAGAGACCTGAGCAGAATATGGAACCGCTTTAATGCACAGGGAGTTGGATTGTGGACTGAAAGTTTGGCCGAAACCTGTCCTACTGTAAAGGAAACCAAGCTGTAACTCCAACGTGGTTGGCTACACTAAAGACATGGAAAGAATCAATGCTGGCTTCCAGGAGTACCGGGGACAAAGGAGGCAAGCAGAGTTGTCCCGTGTCTGTAGTGTGCCAGGCCATTCTGTGTGTCTCCCGGATTTTACTACTTGCCATGCCCTGTGAAATGAGAACTGTACTCTCCCGAGAGAATGCAGGGCTTTGCAGAGGTTAATGGTGTGCTCCAGGTCACACTGGGAGTGAGTGGCAGGCCCCCATGTAGGTGGAATCAAAAGTGCGCTCTTTTTGCATTCTTAGTTCTAAGCCAAGCCCACTGAAATGAGGCTGAGAAAGAACAGGGCAGAGCCAAGTCTTAGATCAAAATTCACGTCTAGCCATGTTTCCCCACAGTAGGACCTGCTTCTCGATATAACAGGTCAAGACAAAATGGAAATGCAAGAACCCTTGTTCAAAATTATTATTAAGATTTTTGAAACAGTGATAGAGCATTAGCCAAAGACAGGGACCTTCTAAGCATCATGCCATGTACAGCTGCACAGATAGCATGGCCATGAAGCTGGCACTGCACCATCCAGGGCAAGGGAATGAACCAAAGTGAGAAGTCAAGAGTCTTGGAGTTAGGAACAAGTTGAAAGTACTGTTCCATGGGAGTCCAGTGGTGAAAAACACAGCTGTGTGGTCCATAGGAGTCTTATATAGCATCATGGGGGCTATGCATCTCTCTCTCTCTCTCTCTCTCTCTGTCTCTCTCTCTCACACACACACACACACACACACACACACAGGTGCTTGCACTGCCTGGGGGAACTCACAGATCAAGACTGATAAAAATTACACAGCAAGGCCCTGGGGGCAATGGTAATCCTTTTTCTAATCTCAGGAAGATTCGAAATAGCATCCCAGTGACACAGAGAATGAGAGAACATCACCCCTATTGCAGCTGTCACTTGTATCTGCAATCGGGTGAATTATAGAGATTAGCCACGTCCAAGAATTACTGCACTTTTTGCATGGTTCTGTGCATGGCCCTTCTTAAGGTGGAATGGCTCAGGTTTGCATCCAGACTCTGGAGAAAGCTTAGGAAGTTCCGTGCTGCCACCCAGTGTTCAGAACACAGGCCCAGGAGAAGCGGCTGAAGGCCTGGTGTCCGTGGCAGGCTGTGAAGGGGCTGGATGGAGCCTGCCCAAAGCAATGAGAAGACTCCCTTGACTTCAGGCAAGCTTATATTAGAGGTTGTATTCTATATCACATCAAAATTATGAAGACACATCCACAACCCACACTAAAGAAATTTACAAGTTCCTAAGAGTTGAGTTGCTTCGGAGTTGGTTAACATGATATGTTTGGTAGACATTTAGTTAAACAATAACTTTGCTTTTAAAGTTTTTTTTTTTTAATTATGGATCCAACTGGGGAACAGGAGGGTTGTGTGGGAAAGAAGTCCCTTAAACATTTCCCTAATTCAGAAATATATGAAAAGCCCTTAGGCCCTGAATTAAAAGAGTCTTTAGTATGGAGGTGTGGAAAGTGGAGGAATGTCACAGAAGAAGAGAAAACACAAGGGAGATTTGGATCTGGTCATCTCTGACAACCAGTGCATATAAGTATTTGTCCTTTAGCTATTTCCCCATAAGCAAGCAACTTGAGTCTGTTAATGTATCTAGAAGAGTCACAGGCAAAACATGACCAGCATCCATGACACCTTAGTAAAAAGATTTTATTTTAAAATAACAAAAGACCCCTGGTCAGGTGTACTGTCTAGTTCAATGCCCAGAAAAAGTAACTCCAACGTGGCTGGCTACACTAGGCAGGACAATGACATCTCTGCCCTCTCACAGCTAATGGCTGTAGTTAGTTGCTAACAGGCAAGCATCCAACACCAAATTTCATGCCCTTCATTCCTGCAGTCCCTTGTGGGATAAAGAGAGAGGATATGGTGAATGACTTTTAATTGCATTTGATAATAAATGCTAAAGCCCTTCGCACAGCTCCTGGAACAGAGATACAATATGGAAATATTGATCCCCTGCCCCTCCCATCTGGATAGTGTCTCTGGTTAACAGAGTCAGCCAGTTCCTTGGTATTGAGAGCACAGAGGCTAAACCAGAGGATGCAGAATTAACCAGCTTTACATAAATACAGACAAATTAGATGATTTAAAGAAATGCAAAATTCATTCTGGAAGAAGACACAGAAGCCACATAATCTAACCTCCTGGATCACTGGCAGAAATGAAGTGCATCTATTTTGGCCACGTTGTTACTTACGGACTAATTTTGCAATTTTTGCACCTTTGCAGATTTAGGATTTCTATAGATTTAGGATGCAGAGAGTTTTATTCTGCCAACTACTCTCTCTTTATCCCCCTTCTATGTTTCTTAAGCTCCTTAATTTTATCTTTACCCACTCTGGTCAAAATTCTATTTCCTCTATTAACTATGATCTGATTTTACTGTGAGCCTATGATCCAGCCTTTAAATAAGGCTGATGGGGTCCCCCAATTCAAACTTGGCACAGCCTTTGTGAATAGAATCTAGCCCCATCCAGAGCTGGAGAAAAAGAAGAATGAAGAATTTTCTTGCAGGTGGAACATTCCTGCAGGTGTACTTCTTTACCACTTAGAGTAGTAAGCAAGACTCACGAAGTTACAACGTCCTTGCTCAAGAAGTAAGGATTGAAACAGAGTCTGAAAAAGACTTACAAAGACTCCGTCTCTGGATGGGGCTAGATTCTATTCACAAAGTCACTGCCAACTGGCTGGATCATACAGGCTCACACCTTCTCCTTCTCCTTCTTCTTCTTTTTCCCCCAGTACTGGGGATTGAGCCCAGAGCCTTACACATGCTAGGCAAGTGCTCTATCTCTGAGCTACATCCCAGTCCCAAGAAAGTTATTTCTTCTTCCACCCCTTTATGAGTTAAACCAAAGTGAGTGATGCTGTGTTTGTAGGCGGGTATTTGCCCCGTCTCTGCCACAGACCACCAGTAGAAGCCCTACCCAGCCTCTGGAGGGATTCCATAGGGAACTGGCAACATTCTACAAAGAGATGGTACAAACAAAACCAACCCCATCTATCCCCTCCAAATGCTCCCAAGGATTCCAGACTTGTGAAAGAAGGGTGTCTAAGGATGTTGGGCACAACTGACCTTAGAAGTTGGGGGAAACCTCCATCTTGCACAAGTGCCAGGGTTGTCCTTTTCTGAGACCTAGAACTTTCCTTTGTAGAGGCCATCCCATGGCATTCTTCACACACTGGAAACCAGAATCATACTGAGGCCTATAGGTGTACTTCCAACATACCAAGAATTCAACTAACGCTTCAATGCCTCGGTCATGCGTGATTTTACATGTGGGTAAGTGTGTGTCCAAAGGCCGACCCCTCAGTCCTGGCTTCTGAAATCTATAAGAAAAAAAAAAAATCCAAATGTCAGGGAAAAGGGCATACTTAGCTTTAAACTCCATACCATCTGCCTAAGAAGAAAAGGGAATCAGCCTGAGTTTCTGTGCCAGATGAAAGATGTGTTTCATAGGGTAGGCGGAAACTTCCAGAATTTCAGTGTATAGTTGTCCATTCAAAAGTACGTGACTGTGAGTTGGCTCCTGAGCTTGGTCCTGGGTGCTGGGGATGGTGGGGTGAATAAAGTAAACAGGTGTCCCTGACATTCCTGAATTTGAAGGGAGGGAAACAGTTAACTAGGTCAGTGTATGGCTGTGGTCCTTTTAAAGGCTCTGAGAATTTCTTCCCTTGCCTTTCCAGCTTCTGGAGGCTCCCTGCATTCCTAGGCTGGTACCTCATCCCCCATCTTCAATATCAGCCACAGAGCATCCTCATGCCTCTACGACTCTGGCCCTCCTGCCTCCCTTGTGTGAGGACCACAGTTTTATCACTAGACCAGCCCAGATAATTCAGAATAATTTTGCCATTTTAGGACATTTTTTTTCTAGTACATGAGATTGACCCCAGGGCCTCAAGCATGCTAGGCAAGAACTTTACCACTGAGCTATACCCCATACCTTTTTACTTTTTCTTTTGGAACAGGGTTTCTCTAAGTTGCCCAGGCTTATCTTCAAGATTCTTAACTACAGCTGCAAAGCCTGTTTGCCATGGAATTTCACATATTACCAGATTATAGGAATTGAGACATGGACATTTTGGGGAAAGGACCCTTATTCTGTCTCCCACAGGGTTTATAGGTTTATTTAACTGTAATACTCCATGTTTACTATAGAAAAAAATTTTTAAAAACATTACAAAGATGAAATTCAAAAATGCAGACTATAACCACTTCCAAAGTATCTCATTATGTCCTTTAGAAAAGAAAACACAAGTATTCTCCAATGCACTTTTCTCACTTTATGATTTAATATGATCATCCTCCCACATTAGCAGATATGATTCTATACATCAGCCTGCTAATGACTGTACAATATTCTATCTTGATGTTGTGCCCTAATGCTGTTGAGCACAGAGATTGTTTCCAGTACACACCAATAATGCTGTTGTCAACATCCTTGTTTATGCATATTTGTATATTTGTCTGATATTTTGTGAGAGTTCCCAGAAATGTAATTGCTGGGCCAATGGCAGTGACTGCTTTTAAGCTTTAAAGGAGTATGGTTGAAGAGCCCTGCAGGAAGTTTGTGCCAATTCACAGTCTCCCTGCAGAGTCGGAAACTGTCGCCCTGTGTTCTCAGAACCCTGACAGAGATCAGACGCTCCATCCTCCACCAAACTGATAGACTCAATTAAAATCCCATTATTGTTTTCATTCATATTTCTTTGATAACCAATAAGGTTGAACATTTTTCATAGTTTTATTTTCTTACAGTTATTTTGTTACCTACCACCTTAGGTCCTTTGCATATTAAAGTGCTTATATTTTTCTTAAGTTTTGATAAATCTATATAGTAACTCCATGTCATATATGATAATATTTGCAAATAGTTTTCTCAATCTAACACTTTAAAAAAAATTTTAATTTCCTTTATTGAACTTCTGTTGCACAGGGTTTTCATTTTGGTGTGTGTATGGTAGTCAAATTGATATTTTATATAATGTATATAGTATACATAATTTAGAATATAAATATAAGTATAAAAATTTTATATATAATCTGACTCAGGTTTCATGCTTCCTATCAGGGGTTCATGGTATTATGGGCCTCACCTACCCTATTATATAAATATTCTCTGGTAGTGTTATTAATCCATCTAGGTTGTTCAGCTAAAATATATGTTAGAGGCATTTGCTGAAAGGTTTCATTAAGGCAGCCACTTGAACACACACATGCAGCTCCCCAGGAGACTGATATCAGGCTCAAAATAACAAGCATATTTCGAGGCTGTGTCCAAAACCTTAGCAGCACATCTCCAATTGGGGTTATGAGTGAGGTCCTATTTTGTTGTGTTTTTTAAACTGAGGGAGACTTCCAGGAGGGGCCACCTCCCACATCTTCCTATTCCGTTGTGATAATATGACTCAGCTCCTGCCTCTCATGGTGAAGCAGTCTCATTTCATTTCCCATGTCTCTAGTGTGTCCTGTTCTTTGCATCACTGGGGAGTGTGGACAGGGATTCTAGGTGATGGGGTCTAGACTGTTTCCGACTCTGCAGGGGAGACTGTGAATGGGCACAAACTTCCTGCAGGGCTCTTCAACCATACTCCTTTAAAGCTTAAAAGCAGTCACTGCCATTGGCCCAGCAATTACATTTCTGGGAACTCTCACAAATGGAGTTCTTGGTTCAAGATGTACTGCAGCAGCCTAAGCCCAAGAGGAGTTGGGAGTGAAGGGTTAGCAAAATAGAACCTGGAGAAGTTATTGCCAGAGACCCTTGACCTATTGCCTGCCTCACCTGGAGGGGTAGCTGTGGATTCACTCTGTGTGGGCTGTTGATGCAGGAGGGCCAGGTTGGGCTAGAGGGGACTCTGCTGATCAAACAGGTTTTGCTGCACTCTGAACACCTGAAGATTTAGAGATGAAAGTAGTTGAAAATCTGAGTCACAAAACTTTTTTTAAACAGAGGAACTACATGCTGAATATCCTCCTTTCTTGCTCTTCGGTAAATGTAGAGAGTCCATGGGACTGGAGAAGGGGAGCCCCCATTGCTAAGGACATCCCTTATCAAAGTTGGAAAGGGGGCCACACTTGTCTTTAGTGCATTTATCCACAAGCAGTTATCAAGGCTCAACTTCCACACCTTTGTGCTCTTCTGTCTGCGTCTCTCACTCTGTGAATACACAATTTTCTAGGACCAACTCAATGCCTGCTTTGTATTTAAAGCCTTCCAGAACATCTTTCTGATATTCCTCTCTCTCCTTTTTCTTTCTCCTTCATCCACACCTCTCAGCATTCTATAGGGGTTTTGGAACCCAATGAACTTGGGTTGAAATTATTCTTCCACCTAATGCCTCTGTATGCTTGAAAACTTTGAAATGCTCTCTTAAACCTTTGAGATGTCAACTTAACAGTCATGAGCCTCAGCTGCTTTGTCTAGAAGATGTAGAGATACCAACCTGCATAAGAAACACCAACCTGCATAAGAATGCTGATTTGCAGATTAATTAAGAGATCAAGTGTCATGAATAAGAGAAGGTCTCTGGCTTCCATGTGCTTATAGTAAGACAGCATCACTGTCATAAAAGGGACACACAGAAAATGCTTCCACGGGACAGAGAAAAAAGAAGAGGTCTTGTCAACCTGGATCACCAGGAAAAGCTAATGAAGGAGGAAATATTCAGCCACTTAAAGAAAAGGTCAAAGTCCAGCAGGTAAAGCTTGTGGGAAAGACAGGCATGACCCAGGGAACCCAGTGAGCTGGGGATACAGGAGAGAAAACCAGGCTGTGTCCAGAGAAAAGAGCAGTTTCAGCAGAGCTGTTATTAGAAAAATAAACTTTTTAATTTATAAATTTTAAATCTTCAGAATCCAAAGTTCTCTGAGTATAAACTGATATTATTAGAATTATCATTTGGAAGATCAACTTGGTAACTGTGCATAGCACAATTTAGAGGGCATTTATTAACCAGTTAAAAAGGTAATTGCAACTGTCCATATTGAAAAGAACAGTCTTAATTCTGGAGTCAATAAAATTGACCTAAGTTGCATCCTGACTGGATGCGAGAAAGGGGATAGAGATGTCAAAGAGGACTCATCCTCAGTGGCTTGGAGTATGGTGGGGCCTTTAAAGGAACAAACACTGGAGAACCCCTTTCTGATGAGCTGCCATGGAGATTCTAGAAAGAGTAAGCAGCCGATAGGAATCAGAAGCAGGGAAATAGAAGCTAGGAAAGTGGGTTTTACCTGAGAGGAAACTTAAGGGTTTATTTTTTTTCATATAAATAAGAATAAAAATTATATGAGTGGATAAGGTGCCCAAAGTATAGAAACAAAAAAGGACCAAGGACAAGAACTCAAGTAGTGTCTACAATCAGGGAGCGGGAACAGAAAGTAAGATCAAGATGAAGCAATATCACATGTACGATATTCTCTGCGATCCTCCGTTTATTTCAGTTACATACTTTCTTACCTTAGACAGTTATTCATAACTTGAATTTACTGAGCATGCAATGTGTATCAGGCACCATGCTAAGCCCTTTATTCCCATTTTCCGTCTTGCGTAACCCTATGTATGGTGCAGGTACGTTAATTATACCCATTTTACAGATGAGGAGTTAAGATTCAGGGGAGTTTAATGAACCCAAGCCACCGTTTACCAGGTAATAAACAAATCCAGGTTGTCTGGCTCTAAAAACTCAAACTAACTTCTTGGTTAAGCTTCTTTTATCTGGTCCCCAGTATACTTGGCATAAGATGCAAAACCTACGTTTGAAGTTCTGGAGATGATCGCGGGAGTACCTTCTTTCTGCAGTGGTTACTAACAAATCCAGTCTCTGGATTGATAACACGTACATCTTTGAACTCATTGCTCATTCTCTTGGATCTTAGATACTTCTTCAGAATGAGGTAGGTACACCTTACAGGATCCATATAAAGATTAAATGAAGAAAGCCTGAGGAAGGTGCCATTAGTGTCACTGTTTTGTTGTTGTTATTGAGAGGCACTCCCCACTCCTCTGGAGGCTCCCCTCTTTGCCTGCATCTATTCTAAATTGTTCTCTTTAAGTGCAAATGTCCCAGAAGCATTCATCAGCAGAGTTCTTTACCTAATGCACTGCCATCCCTAGGGAGGCAGCATTCCACAGGGGACTAACTGATCTTGAAATGTCAAAGGGTCATGGAAGATTAGGGAAAGATTATCTCAGTCCATGCAGACCCGGTGAGGTAAGCCATGCAACTAATGGGTGAGCCCTCATTCCTTTTTTTTCTTTTTGATCTGCCCTCTGACCAAGGCCAATGTCCTGATTTGTTCCCAGT